TTAGCTGTGTGCCACCTGAAACTTCAATAAATGATGGACTACACACAGCATTGGTCCCATAAGATTATCTTACCTAGCAACATCATAGTCATCTTAGTTTGTCTCAGCATGTTCTGTGACGTTCATGGGATGACAAAATGGACTGAGGAAACATCTCAGGTACCCCTGTTGTTCAGAGGCACGTGACTATATTTCAAGGACTTACATGCTATACTACAACAGAGGAAACCATGGCTCTTGTTTCTACAATAACTGAAGCACATTCCTTGCTGACTCTAAAAGCAGCAACTGTCTACCCGGGAACAGAATATTCTTCAAAACTACCAACTACCCAAGAAAAGCAAGGTACAAAAAGCTGCACACCATCTTAAGATCTCTGTTTAGAGCTCTTATTTCTGAGCCAGGCTGTGGTGTAATCAAACAGGAAAACACAAATGAAGCTTGATCATTCTGATGGATGGCCTTTAGTCTTGGATGTTAACAAAAATGTTTATTAACCAAGCAGTGTGGAACTCAACCTTCATGTGAATTGAGAAATCCCGTTTCCTGAAACACCCGGCTCTGAAGTGAAGTAGAAGCACAATTCCCACGGCATTAATATTCGCAAGGCAAGGGGTCAAGGAGCTGACCAAGGAACCCATGGGAAGGTGTCCCAAAGGAAGATACTATATATGGAGTTTGGTCATTGAGAAAGAGGATAATTCGTCCTCATATCACTCCTTTAAAGAGCTGTGCAATAATAACTTTCCAAGCAACTGACTGATGTTTTAACATACTGGGTTGCTAAAGCTGTCAGAAGAAATATTTGGATCTAGAAGAATCTGGCAACACTTTCTGAAAGAACAGCATATTTTTTTTATCCTAAACGCTAAGATGTATTTTTAAATATTAAAGATATATGTGTACTGGAGGAAAGGTGTCTAGCAAGCAGTCAGCCAGCCAAAAGAAAACAGATCAACTGACAGGCAGGTTGTGATCATTCTGACACTTAATAAAGTACTTTCTACCCTCCCACTTCTAGGACAGATGTATTGCCTGGGTATTGTAGCAATGTTCAAAACTTTCCATCAGACTATCCCAAAGTGACCCTGAATACAGCAACTGTTCTTGAGATACCTCCAAAAGATATGTTTTCACAGGGGGCTAGAGAAATGGCTCAGCAGTTAAGAGCACTGGCTGCTCTTGTAGAGGACCCAGGTTGGGTTCCAAGCACCCACATGGCAGCTACAACCATCTGTAACTTCATTTCCAGGGGATCCAACACCCTCTTCTGTCCTTTCCAGGCACTGCACACATGTGCTACACTTATACATACATGCAGGCAAAATACACATAAACTACAAATAGGAGAGATGGTTCAATGGTTAAGAGCACTGGCTGCTCTTGCAGAGGATGCTGGTTCAGTCCCAGCACCCCACATGGTGGCTAACAACTGTCCCTAACTCCAGTTCTAGGAGATCCAACATCCTCTTCTGGCCCCCACAGGCACTGCACAATACAGATGTACTCACATATATGTAGCAAAACACACGTACACATAAAATGAAAAAAAGGTTTGACGATCTCTCCTTCACTATCTCTAAACCAATCAAGACCACTCCAGAGCACTCATTGGTTTCCCAAAGTACTGCCATAAAATAGCCCCATTCCTGACTCTGCAATCGCTCTATGAAAAGATCCTTTATAGAACTGAATTGGGCCAGGGAATCAAGCAATCTAAGCTAACATATGTTCTCAACTTTTTCTCTTGTCTACAGAATACTATTTCTTTCCTTCCTTATTTTTTTTACACAATAAATATTTATTACACACTTACTTGTCAGTAGCAGGTGGCCTCTGTGGAAGCACACAAGAGCAGTCTCCCTCTCAAAAGCAGACTTTTTTTTTTGTCTTTTTGAGACAGGGCCTCCCTATAGATCCATCTGCCTCTGCCTCCCAAATACTGGGATTAAAGGCGTGTGCTACCATGCCTGGCTAAAAATCAGACATTTTAACAGGGGAGAAAAATAATTTTAGACAATGATTGGTACCATAAAAAAATAAATAAATCCTAGCTAGTCACGAAAACCAGAGGGAACCATATTATTCCTACAATCTACTGACAAATTATACACAATAGATCAAGAAAAATATGTCATTACCCAAGATTTATCTGCAAGACACACAGTAATTAAAAATGCCAGAATGGTGGAACTAACCTTCTTGGATGTTTAACAGACATACCTTCAGATCTATACTAATTGGGTCAGAGGTATTCAAAGGACACTTTTTGCTCCTTGCCCTCCTGGGTCGATTAGTTCCCAGGGACTATGAGCATCGTGCAAAATGTC